GTATATCCTTTTGGCGACCCCTCGAGTACTTGTTGCAGCTAGTTGTACCCTCTTGGTTCTTCAACTCATGCATCCGATACACCCTTTTACATACTTGGTACTTACAACACGTGTTTCCAGCTCTTTGATCTGCTCAAGACATCTGTCGAGGTACGTCGCACAATTTGTACGAAAGTAACTGCATCCACATGTAACAGGCAGCCCTTAGCATGTCATATCTTGCACCTGGCAACCACCCATCCTGACCCTGCCGAGCGGCCGCTGTGGAATGCGTCGCCACCGTTGGATTCGGTAAACTGGGACACTTTGCCTGCGGAACTGAAGAAGGTATGTTGCTTTCATATCTTTCGTAGCCATCTTCTCAACGTTGGCAGCGCGGGATTCATTACAGTACCATTCTACTTCGACCAGTCCCTCAACTGCTCAAAGTGCAAGCCGCGGTAAACCCCCCATGGCCACCTCCTGTTATGACGTGCTGACAATGGCGCTTTTCAGACAGTGGAGGGCTCAGTACAGGGCCCGTGGTTCACAGTCCGTTCACCGCATACCCTGAGCCTCGCGGGCTTCCCACAGAAAGGTACTCACAACCTTTTGCTCAAAGGATGTCCCACTGATATCTTCGAGTAGGCACAAAACGCCCAGGTAGCGTGGACCGAAGTCCCGAGATCACAAAACGCGCCAAAGTGCTCCTCTCGTCCCCCGTCAAGTCCCCCGCGACCGTTACTCCCATTCCCGTCTCATCCCCGGCACAACCTCCTCTACCAACCACAAAGACACCGTCGATCGCTCCCGCAGTACCCCCACCTGCTCCAACCGCAGCACCGCCCCCAAGCTCGGCACCCATAACGTCGGCACCTGGGTCACAGCCGCCCAACCTGCCTCCGATTCTCCTCGCACGATATCGCCAGATAGAAACCGCGTTGCGCCTCCAGTTGGCACAAGCCCAGCAGATGGAGAAAGACGGCCGAGTCGAGGCTGCGACAGCGCTGCGAGCGGAGCTGACGAGGCGGGTACAGTGGTACAAAGATCAAAGGCAATTACACCTCACCAATCCGGAAGCAGCAGCAGCTGCCGCGGCCCAGGCACAGGAAGCCATGACGAAGTCTGCTGCTGCCGCATCAAACTCGAATGCCTCTGGCGCACAAACTGCAACAGACATGGCCGCCAGACTTGGTCAGCCGCGGCCGACAGCGCCCGCATCAGCACCAGCACCAGCACCAGCAGCACCCGTGGCTCCGCCAGTACTGGCGATGGTCCCCAGTGCCCCAAGCGCTGCACCGAAGCTCACGGCACCGCCTACTAGCATTCAGATTCCACCGAACGTTCCAGCTGAGGTCGCCGCTCAGATGCAGAAGCTGCTCGAGCAGAAGAACAGAGCGTCTGCGCAACCTCAAGCTCCAATGACGTCCACCGCGGCCGCACCGGCGTCGCAGCAACCGCCTGTTCCTGGTCCGTCTCTTCACGGAAACCAAGTCAACGTGTGGGTGGGGATGCTGTCCTGGCGCGGGACGGACTCGGAGACACATGTCAGAAAAGATGTGCATGCACGGGTGACGATCCACGGCGTCAGCAGCGACTTGATGTATGTCCCCGGCTGTACTGTGAGCTGTGTCTAGCACTAATTTCTTACAGGCGTCCGGATACATGGCCGTCTAGCCTCTCGCTGGCGCCCTCACGATACAACGCCGTGCCACAAGCACTGCTACAGCAGTGGTTGGGGCAACACAAGTGCGTCCCATTGGTAATCACCGCGAACGCGCAGGCACCGGATCCCAAAGGGAATCAGGAACACTTCCTCGCCCTCGTCCGTCTCCTCGCAGAGAAGAATCTGGTAAGTCTCAGCAAGAGGTGCCACCTTCGCTCCGTACTCATCTCCGCTATGCCCACGCAGTACGCGCTCGCGTCGTGGAACACCACGTCTGTCGGGGACCCGGAGAACCGCATCCTCATCTTCGTGCTCAAAGCCGGCCACCTCGCGGGGGCGTACTTCCCCCTACCCGGCGGCGTGCCCGAACTGCCGAAGCCGGACGTCGCGGGCGTTTCGCTCAACGGCTTGCCCCCGCCGATCGTCGCAATCCTGCAAAGCATGGCACCGAAGGAGCAGGCGGCGTTCATGCAGCTGCCGCAGGACAAGAAGATGCTCTGGCTCAAGCAGATGGTGCAGCAGCGCGCGGCGAAGCAACATCAGGCGCAACAGCAAGCCCAGCAGCAGGCTCAGCAGCAAGCCCAGCAGCAGCAGCAGCAGCAACAGCAGCAGCAGCAGCAGCAAGCGCTCCAACAGGCAACACAACAGCTCCAGGCGCAGGCCGGCTCCTCCCAGAGCGCACAGCAGGCACTCATGAACGTCCGACAGGGCGAGCTCAACCCGTGGATGCAGAACACGGGCCCGAGCGTCACCGCGATGCTGAACCAGTTCGTCTCTGGCGCGGCCAACAACGGCGGCATCCCTGCCGGCATGCCCCAGAACGCCGCCCAGCAGCAGAACGCCGCGGCGATGGCGAACATGGCGAACATGGCGGGAATGGCGGGCATGGCGGGCATGAACTTTGGCACGATGGGTGGTTTGGGCGGAATGGGGACCATGGGCGGCATGGCTGGGATGGGAGGCATGGGAGGCATGCAGCCGGGCGCGGCGCAGGGGATGCATAGGCGCACGCCTAGTGCGGGGACGGCAGGGGCTGCGCAGCTAAACTATGAGATGATACAGTCGTTTATGCAGAGGAGCCCTGATGGGTCGGGGCCTAACCCTGGGATGGGCGGGATGTAGGAGGGGGGTTGTGGACGGGGTTCGCTCCCTGTCGCTCTCAGTGAGTCGTTGTAGTGTACAATAATATTGTCTTTCGTTTTGTAATAGTCTGTGACCCGATAGCCGACAAGGAAAGATTGCATCTGCTACTGTACAAGCGTGTCGGGTACGCGTGACTATAAGGGTACAGGCTAGGTTCCAGGTGCACTCCAGTTCTCGTTCAGCCCCTGGATCTTGTCGTGATCGGCGAGGTTTGGCTTCGACTCGTACACCGTCAGGACAGGCTCGAATTTTCGCTGGACCACACTCATTGTTAGCCACACATGCAGCGCTACGGGCGATTCTGGACACGCAAGGGAAGTGACTGACTTCACTCCACTGGCCGAGGAACCCGACGTAATATATCCGCGTCGTCTCTGCGCCTTGCGCTGCAGGGAAGAAGAGCGTCACGGAGGTCACATTTGGGAACTTTGCTGGCCTGCATACAGCATACAAGAAGGATGTCAGCGTTGGTCGAGGGGAAGCCCCATCATGCTCAGGAAATCGTTGGAAGACAAAACGCACAATACATGGTATTCGCCAATGTCCCGTCCTTGGGGGATCGTAAACTCCTGTACAGGCTTCATGTCGGCGATGTCGGAGAAATCCAAGTTCTCGACGTTCGGGAACTGCCAAAGATCCCAAAACGCTGAGCTTGCTGATGTACATCTCGACCCGACGCGATGCTACGGACCAGGGCGACCTTCGCCGGCGTTTGGTCGGCAGGCCCAGCTTTGAGCAGGAGCGCGCGCAGCTTCACTGCGCCAGTGAACGGGACTCTGATGATCCTGCACGTCCAGATGGTGAGTCGGTCGCGGATGCGACGAGCAGCTTCGGAAGGTCGCACAGTTGGTCGTCCGCATCGGACTCGAGATACTAGCGGCCAGAGCTGGTGAGCGTCATCGTGGCACTTTTGAGGGCAATGGGCCCTACATTTTCTTCGTCCAGTCTGTGATCCCAAGGCTTGATCACCGCGGGGCCCTGCTGGGCATCCTCGGCGTTCAGCGCGACGACGTTCGCGCGGTCGATGCGGGCGTACAGATTGTCGCGATGCCCGACGTCCTCCGGGAGACCGTGCTGGTGACCGTGGTCGTGGTCGTCTCCGTGGCTTTCGTCGTGACAGTCTCCGTGTGAATGGTTGTGCGACATCGTTGTTCACTACGAAGGACGAAGGACGTGATCACTGTCATTGTGGCGCGGCGGGTGAGACTACGTATTCGTTCTGCTCCGCTCGATCTAATAATTTATGACCGTGCATTTCATCCCTCTTGAGCATTCTGCTTCTTCATCACGCCTTGATCGTATTTTGACGTAGACATATCTCTGCTTTCCTAGGACTTCAAGTCAACGCTCGGCTTCCAGTCGAAGTCTACAGTCTAATATGCCTCTCTAATATGCCTCCTTGATGTGAGCACGGTCCTCGGGGTCCGTACCAACGCCCAAATAAACATCCACAACGCCTGGCCATAAATTTGTTCCGCTGCAGTAGGACTTGCCACGCAGGTATTTTGCGCTGGCTCTCTGCTTTCTCGTGTCATACATATAGTGACTTGGTCAAGCGTGGAAGAATTTATGGTGAGTAGTCTTGCACTATGATCGTCGCCGAATCGCGTGATGGTACTATAGTAATTTGCGTTCGATGGCCTCCGCCCTCATACCAAAGGGGTGTACACGCCAGTACGCCCTGGGGGCGGGGGTATGAGACAACCTTACACTTCTGATACTTGTTCCGTATTTTAAATGAAGTTGTACTAATTTCCTCACTTTGTAGTATGAAGGAGTGACGGATAGAAGCTCCAATGTAAATGTCTGCGCATACTGGTTCAATACTCTCCTATTGGGTGCGTTTCAGACTATACAGATCAATCAGAAATATGCGTGCAATGTATCATATCGAATGATGTGAGCTACCATACGGGAGATGGCCGAGTCTACCAGTGGTGTCGAACGTTTAGTTGAGGTATCGTTCCAACGTGCGTGGACTGCATAAACCGTTCGGAGAACTTGGAATTTAAAGGCTCTTCTTGAAGTTCGGAGTTACTTGAGCTACTGGGAGCAGTTCAATCGATGCAAAGTGGACGATACCTGGCCGGTCATTGGGTACTATAGTCCACCAACGACTGAAAAGTGCATACGCTTCAACGAACGAAGTGGCATGAAAAGCAACAAAAGAACCTCTTGGCTATGTATATGAACATGTTGTCCCTAAAGTCAATCTCTGTTAGTATATCGGTTAGTACACGCGCCTGTCACGACACAAGGCCGTGCGCGCGAAAGCGGGGTTCGACTCCCCGACAGAGAGTTTTTGCGGCTTCAACCTCCCAATACAACCTGTGTGTTTATCTGAACTAGTGTATGTAGTGGGCACTGGTTAGGAAGAAGGGTGATAGCTCTGTAGTAACTTAGTAGTACCGGCGGTGCTCACATACCTCGCAATACATGAACCTTGACAAGACTGATCTGCTTAGAACGATGTATCACGCGCTATGATAGTTTCTGTCCGACTTTGGTAGATACTCAGACTGCATTCTTCTCCCTTCGACGTCGGTCGTATCAACTGATGATGGTACTATGGGTACGACTATATACATGAGGTCAACATGCCCCCACCAACGACTACTGGCACCCCTCGCAGAATACTGCCCCTCTCGTGTGCAGACCTTCACCCCCGCGCCCCCTTCCGTCCCCTGCCCCTCCGCCCCTTGCCAGCCCCCTTCCGTCCCGACCCTCCTCCCGCTGCAGGAACGGCCTCCGGAAGCTGCTGCAACGTCATCTCCTCCACGTCCATGCTCACCCCCGCCCCCGCCCCCGCCGCCTCCCACATCTCCTGCCGCGCCAACCTCTCCGCGGACGCGTCGAAGAGGTGGTTCAGGCGCTCGCGCACGCCGTCCTGCTGCGGGTCCGCATACTGAACGTGCGTGCCCCCGACGACCTCCGCCGCGATGAAGCTGTTGTCCCCCTCGTCCCCCGACCCGGTCGGCCGCGGGGGCACGGCGGGCACTTCGACGGGCACTTCGACGGGCGCGGGCGTCGCGGTGCGCGCGCGCGAGCGCGCGCTGGCGACGGGGCTGAGCACGGGGGGTGTCGTCCGGCCGGGGGTCCCGCACTCGGACAACGACATGTTCGACTGTGCAACGACGCGAGTCCGTCAGTATACGCACGCACACACATCCAGCTCCCGGCCGGCGTGCCCCTGCCGACGACGCACCTTTGAGCGGTTCAGCGGCCGGCTGCGGCGCCCCAGCGGCGGTGCGTTCGCCCCCTTCGCCCGCTTCGCGCTCTCGATCTCGTGCTCCGCAGGCGCGACCGCCGCAGCGGGGCGTTTCCCGAGCAGTGTCGTGATGGTCTCCTGCAGCACCTTCGTCGTTTTCTCCTTCACATGCGCCGGTGTCGTCGGCGTGCGTGTTCCTGGGATGCGCATAGGAGACGGAGACGCGGACGACGGCACGCGGCCGTTGTGCCCCAGCGAGAGCGAGGGCGTAGAGAGCGAGAGAACCACATTTGCGTCGGAAGCCAAGCAAGGCTGGGTCCGTGGAGCTGCTTCGGGCTCGGGCTCAGTTGGGGGAGTAGGCGATTTGCTGGTGGGAGGAGTGGGTGTCGTACTTGCAGGTGGTGGAATATCCGGGGGCTTGTCCGCCTCCGCCTCACCCAAGAGCAGCGAAGGAACCCCGAACGACTCACTCTCTTCGGCGGGAGGCAGTGCGGGGTCTGCTGGCGGGGGGTCGTAATACGACAGTGACTGGGCTCTTGGCGCCTGATCTTCTAAACGAGGATGAGCAAGACTGACGAGACGTCGGAAAGACAGACGTACCGTTCGTGATATCGATCATGCTCGCACCCCTGCTTCCTTTCTCCCTGCACTTTCCCTTCTTGTCGATGCTCCCGCTCCCGCTCCTGACGGATGGTGGCTGCTGCGTCGGCAGCAGCACCTCGGGCTCGCCCTGATAGTCGACCACGTTCAGGTCCACGTCCTCACCCTCGCCAGCTACAGACGGGGATGCGCGCGTGGGCGCAATGGGAGGGACCTCGCCCGTACGCGCCATCGACCCGAGCCATTCCATGTCCACGACGGGGGTACCCCACTCGCGCGCCTTTTCTGCCTTCGCGCCCTCCCCAGAGGGACAGAGCAGGTGCGTCGTGCGCCGCGAGAAATTCGGCGCATGCATGATCCCTACCGAGCGTATCAGCACATCACGTACACAAGACCATGAATATGTGTGGGCAAGACGCACCAAGCCCCCGCAGCAGCCTGCGCACCCAGCACGCCTCGCTCTGTTCGAGCCCAGAGTAACTGACGATCATGTCCTCCGTGCCGGGGATGGGGGCCTCTGCTTGGAGCGGTGTGAACGCGAGGTGCTCCTCCGGCGCGCAGATGCGCTCTTCGAAGATACAGCGCTCGAGCCAGCATTCCGTGCGGTACTTCGTGCGCTCCCGCTCGTCGCCTTCGCGTCGATATAGAGCGCTCCCGCTGTACGCGTCAGAAAAGCACGGGAGATGAGTCACGAATGCGTTGGACACGAGGAGGAGAAGGGACGTGCCTGACCAGCCGCACAATGATGAAGTCCACCCCGTCGTCGTCATCGTCACTCGCGCCGACCCACGACCCGCCGCAATCCTCGATTGCCCGTCGCACGCTCGCGCACCGCGCCTCGCCCAGGGCACGTATCCGCTTGCCCTTGAACAGCTCTCGCGCGCCCTCTGAGACGCCCCCGCCCACATCTCCCACCTCAATTGTGTTGTCGCCTCCGTTCTCCGGGACGACGCTGCCCGCCCTGCTCGGGCCGGCAACAGCAGATGCAGACACGGTAGGCCAGTCCGCCGAGATGCCCCATGCCGCCTGCGCGCCGCCCACATCGTGACCCTGCGGGGCGAAGGATGCTGTTCGCGCGCTCCCCCCGTGTCCAGCAAGCGCAGATCCTCCTACCGTCGGCAGGCGCCTGAAAGGATGGCGGGATACCGGCGTGGACTGTGCTACGGGCGCGAAGGAGCGTGCACGCCTGAAGGATGAGATCGCACTCGCCGGCATATGCGGGTCGCCATCGCCTTCCTTGAGCGAGCCTCTGCGGAGTGCGCGAGCGGATGGAGACGGCTCGCGACGGTATGACGTGTCCTTGGGGGCTTGGGCTTGGGACTTGGACGGGCTCCGGACGAGGCGGCCCTGCTGGAGTTCGAACCCGCGTGGCTTTAGGATGCTCTCCCAAAGGTGAAGCGTCACAGCAGGGACGCGCTTGACGGAGGCAATTTCCTCATCGTCGTCCCCTGGACGCGAGGCGGGTGGGCCTCCGGCTGCGGAAGCTTGTGCATTTTCGATCTCGGAGGAGACGCCGAGGTCGTCGTTGACTGTAGATGATGCAGGTGGGGCTAATGATTACTGAGGTTATGTATTGTTGACGGGAAAGCTGTGGTATTACGCACGGTCTGGCAGGGCTCTGGGTTGAGGACGTGGATTTGAGACTTTATACGCCTCTTCGTCGAACCGTCCTTCGCCGTAGTTTAGTATGATGACAAAGTAGCACATGCGCGACGCGCACCTCCGAACCGCAGCGAGTCCCAGAACCAGTCTTCCCAAACGATGTGTATTCGCGCCTCACCCACGCGGTTGAACTTTTCCGCGTACCGCACCTTCTCGGACTCGCCCTCGCTCGTGTTCGCGCAGATCAGGTGCGTGACCCGCACGGGCCTCTCGATCTGTTTGACGTACATCCCGCCGCCTTTCGTGACCTTGCGGTTGATCTCCATGCGAATGTTCACGTCTTCGATGCCAGACACGGACAACACGACCCCTGTAAATGGTGGGAGGCGAAATTGGTCGAGTCCCTGAGACCATGTCAGTGATAAGGCTGAATTAGAGATGTATGCCGTCAAGAGAGAGTTCGACGTACCTCTGCGACGTCGACATCGTCGCCTTTGAGCCAGATCTTATGGCTTTCTATAATCCAAGACGGGTGCATGATGGGAATGCCGCTCTCCAAAGCGCACTGTAGGACAGTTGAGTACGGAAGTGTGATACTCTTCTTGGACACACACATACTCTGTACTTTGCGCTACCAGATTCTTCGGCAATGAGGTGTGTTGTTCTGTCGGTAAGGTCGCCCTCAGACTGGGCCCCCAGCTCGAGGGCGAGCTTGAATAGAGAAGTCTGTTGGGCAATCAGAAAAGGTTTGCACGAGTGGAGATTCGGAAGAGCTTCACGACGAAACATCAACAGAATTAAAATTTAGCGACTGTGAACGATAGAGTACCTGAGTGATGACTCTCCACTGCAGTATTGGTATAGGCTCTCGCACTACGTACTTCACACTACTGCGTAAAGTACATTGGTTGGCCGTGAATTTTGATGGTCGGCCCGCGTGTTACGGAAAATGAAACCATGCCATCGCGCGACCAGACATCAACTGACATCTGCAGAATACGTTTGTCTAAGCAGGGAGGATTGCCGCGTATGACTACTTCTCCCAGTCCGCCTGCCACATACGTCATAGATCGTGGTTGGAATGCTCACCTTGTCGTTGATTCCAGTTGCACACAGCACAAAGCGCTTGAATGGTCTAGGGCACAGGTCTGCATGGGTGGTATCCTCGTCCGAGTCGAGACCTGAGCTATGTGTCCATGTGGAGTCGGGCGTGCGCAAATCCTTGCGGGCAGAGGGGTCTGCTGGCCGTAGCTTCACGCCCGGAACCTATGGGGCAAGTTCATCGACTACCCCGACTGGCCGTTTGCATGAACGTACCTTCTTGGATCTGTTTACTCTCCTGAAGGCCATCTTGTTAACCCGGGCGGTCAATGTAAGTATATCGCGTTGTAGAGAAGCTCGTCAAGGTCGTCGTGTAAGGCTTGTGGTCGATTCCCAATATGTAGTTGAATATCCCCGCTGATTCAAGCTTAAAGCAGTCAGCGGTAGAGGCGATTTCAAGCTCAGAACGCGATTGAGACGCGGAGAAGGTGGAAAGTAACGAGTCCAGAATCGCGAACGCGCTCAACCTCCTTGTGCGTCACGTGCAGGACGAGCTTCAGGGCAGGTGCTACCGTGACGATCACGTGCACGCTGAAACTTGCGCTCGCTGTCGCTCGCAGTGACGAGCATCGGTTTGCCGTCGTCCACACCGTCCGGGATGTCTGCCCTCACTTCTCTGCGCTCATGCGCCCGGCTACAGGCTCGTGCATTTGCCACGGCAGCCCCCTCATCATCATCGCCTGCCGCCGGGTCTGAGCCTCTCACTCACTATCGCATCACTCTTCGTCGGTCTGCCATCTCTCTGTCCAAGAACGTGAAAGGCACCCTCGAGGCGCTTGGGATCCATC